CTTCATCTTCTTCCCGAATTCTACATCGAGCCAGCCTATCTCTACTTCGTGAACGGATCCAACATATCCGAAAAACCCTTAATTTTCAATCCCAAAAACTTTTTAAGCTGCATCTTGAACTCTCCAGTATTCTTAGTGTCGATGATTGGTCACTTTTAGACCGCATTTCCTATCATCAAGCCGATAAAATCCTTCTTCTAAGCAACGAAACTCACAAAAAGAAATTCCAATCCCTTGTATCTAAGAAAAAATCACATTCCACCACTTCTACTTCTCATTCACCTCTCATTAACACCGTCGTTAATCTTTCTTCTCACCAATTAACAAGTGCAGAAAGCAGTCTTCTATCTAAAGGTCTTAATTTTGCTATCACTCCTTCCAGAATTCCTACCGAAGAAATAGTTTCAAATGTGGAAGCGGCACTCCGCACAATTCCCAAAATTCCAGCCGACCGTATCCGCTTTGACGTCGCTAAATGTCTTGATACAGCCAAAATCCCTACTTCCAATATATCTCGTGAGGAATTCATAGCTCTCAAAAATCTCCGTTCTCTTTCTGAGATAATAATCCTTCCTGCAGACAAAGGTAATGCCACAGTCATCCTGGATACTCCTTCCTACATAGAGAAAGTAAACGACTTACTTAGGGATACATCCTGTTATAATACAATTTCTCGAGACCCCACTCCTAGAGTCGAACGCGAAATTTCCCATGCCATCAAACAATCCGATCTTTCCGATGATGTTAAGAAGTCCATAGTTCCAAAAAACTCCATCTGCCCCAGAATTTATGGTCTTCCGAAAATCCATAAAGATAACGTACCTCTTCGTCCCATTGTGACTACGATTAACTCTCCTACCTACAAACTCGCTAAGTACTTGTCCAATCAGTTTAAGACCTATACTGGTCGTACCTCTTCTTATGTCCGAAATTCCACACATTTCATCACCTTAATCTCCTCTCTCACAGTCGATCCCCAAGATATTCTCGTCAGTTTCGATGTATCATCCCTATTTACCAATATCCCCATACATGACTCTCTAGTTGTTCTGCGAGATCACTTGACCAATGATAACAAGTCTTTGGTTTTGGCAGATCTTGCCGAAAAATGCCTCCTTTCAACATATTTTTCTTTTAGAGGCAATTTCTACAAACAAATATCTGGAACACCAATGGGTTCTCCCCTTTCCCCTGTCATTGCTGACATTTTCATGGAAGCCTTTGAGTCTTTAGCCCTAGAATCTTACCCCTTAAAACCAAAAGTCTGGTTCCGCTACGTTGATGATACATTTATCATCTGGCCCCATGGTCAACATACCCTTTCTTCCTTCCTAGATCATCTTAACTCACAACATCCGAGTATAAAATTCACAATGGAAGTAGAAAATAATCGGTCCCTTCCCTTTCTCGATGTGTTAGTCACCTCCAAGCCCAATGGCCGATTGGGTCACTCTGTTTATAGAAAAAAGACTCACACGAATCGTTACCTACATGCTTCATCACACCACCATCCTGCCCAAAAGAATTCTGTGATCAACTCTCTCATCCATCGGGCCATTTCGATTTCTGAACCCGACAACCTTAGAGAAGAACTTGGCCATCTGCAAAAAACCCTTGTCGCCAATGGTTACTCCAAGTCCACAATTCAAAATATTACACACCGACATCTAAATCCCCCTTTACACCCTAGGACAACAAATTCAGAATCTTCGGGTAATACTCCTGTGGCTTTTCTTCCGTATATTCGAAATGTCACTGATAGGATTGGCAAAATTCTTCGCAAAGAAGGTATCAGGACTACTTTTCGACCACCCAAGAAAATCTCACAATATCTACCCTCTCCTAAGGACTCATTACCGCCCCTATCTTCCTGTGGTGTCTATTCTATTCCTTGTTCATGTGGACATGTGTATATTGGCGAAACTGGTCGTTCCGTCAAAACTCGGATTCAAGAGCATCAAAGATGCATTCGATCAGGTCTTTTCTCCCATTCTGCAGTTGCCGAACACTGCCAAGAAACCGGTCATTCCATATTGTTCGAAAAAACCCATATTATTTCTAAGAGCCCCTTCTTTTATTCCAGGAAAATCCGCGAATCTCTAGAGATCCGAAAAAATCCCCATAATATCAATCGAGAGGAAGGATACTACTTGTCTCCCATCTGGAATCTCAGTCTAGAGCCACCGTCCGGTCCCGCCACCACTATGCAGCCACATGATTGGCCAGCGCGCGCTTCTTGACGTTCGCGCCACGAAGTGTGCCGATACGTCCCGACACGACAGGCACCGCGACTATAAATAGAGCGGTAGCGGAGTAATCGTCGGATTCACTCCCCGCCTCTCGACGCGTTAGTGTTCTGAGCTGTTGGACGTGAATCCCTGTCCTGGCATTTGGTTTTCACCTCTGGCTGCGTTGAGTAGTTGAGTTACTGTGACCAAATGCCCATCTTGGTAGTTAGTATTCGCCTCTGGTTGCGTTGAGTAACTGAGTTACCGTTGCTAACTACCCATCTTCCTGTTCTTTTGTTTTCTTTTTTCCTTTTCTTTGTTCTCCTGAAGAAGCTACATACAATTGTAGCGAAACGTCGAGATGAACCCACTTTTGGGTCACTCACAAATGACACGGTCCAAACCCGGAAGACGAATAAACTATAATTCTGACTCTGGCCGTGGAAGCCTACGATTTCATTATCTAAAACATAGTATCATGGATAAATAATATAATATGCTGCACAAAAGCTGCATTGCGTTTCCACCTCTTTTTCTCCTTTTCTTTCTTTAGTTCTGTCACAGAATAATTGTTCTGTCACAGAATACATCACTGTTCTCTACGGTTCTATGAAACTTAGTTCACAGTAATTGACATTGACAGCTAATTTGATTTGAGTGTTTTTGAGTTGAGAGATTGAGAGTTGAGGCCACAGCATGATACTAAGACTTCCAAGATAAGCCCACTTCGCAATCGAATTTTGTACATCGACGCGCATGACGTCAATTGGTGATAAACGTCACTTTTATCACCAACCTTTTATAATCACAGTCGGTAAAACATATATGGAAAGAGAGGGTTTTTATTTAAATATTTAGAATATTAAGGGATGTTAGGTAAAATATCTGCAATTAAATCTTAAAAATATGTTATATATACATATCTGTTAGCCTAGCAATGTAAACTAAAATTATATAAAAAAGTAAGAACTAAACATCCTTTTGCAAATGGAAATTTATATACAATGGATTGATTTATTAAAATAAAATTTAATACAACTGATAAAATAAAATACACTGTAATAATTTACAGGTTTATTTAACAATTTATTTTACAATTTTTAATATTTTCTTCTTCTTAATTTTGGATGTTTCTTTAATATATCTATTCAATTTTCTAATTTTAAAATATAATTTACACCTTTACTAACATTACATCTGTACACAGCTAAATCCATTAGCGATTTTAAATAATTCTTGGTTAATTTTAATGACCCTTTGTTAAAATTGTTAAAAATATGGTCCAGTTCATTACATTTAATTAGAAAATCTGGATATGGTTTAAGTAAACCTCCTTCGGAAAGATGGTTTACCCAGTTAAACCGATGTCAACGTACAAGATAAACGATAAAACAAAACTAAATCTCAAGGTTAGTAGATATTTAAGTAGATACTTAAATATCTACTAACCTTGACTATATCTGACAAAACTCCATACAACACAGAACATTTCTGGTGACATTTGTCGCCAAGTGACGTCACACGACTGATCGCGTGCGCGTGGGTTTATCTGTAGTTTATAGTATCATGAGGCCACAGCACAGCCCACAACCACAGAATAATAAACAATCAGAAGGGCCACTCTCAGATGCCGCCTTTGAAGTTTTTCAGCACGCGCGCCATGTTTTAGGAGGACACAGACATTTGATTTGTGTGGTTATGTAATTGTTTATATTTATGTTTAATTATATTATATTTATGTTATTATATTTAACAATGTTAATATAATTGTATAGTATGTCTATGATTGCCGTAAGTCAAATAAACCTGGTTAATTTTTCCATGCACACCACATAAACAACACTAATTTCTTTAAAATCCTCCTAAAACATGGCGGAACGTCTGCGCGGAGGAGATGCGCGTACTTAATTTTCCGTGGAGAGTGGGTATTCTGTTTGTTTATTATTCTGTGCCACAACCACAGAATAATAAACAAACAGAATGCCCACTCTCCACGGAAAATTAAGTACGCGCATATCCTTCGCGCAGACGTTCCGCCATGTTTTACGAGGATTTTAAAGGGAACCAGTGTTGTTTATGTGGTGTGCATGGAAAAAAAACAGGTTTATTTGACTTACGGCAATCATAGACATACTATACAATTATATTAACAGTTTTAAATATAATAACATAAATATAATATAATTAAACATAAATGTAAACAATTGCATAACCTCACAAATCATATGTTTGTGTCCTCCTAAAACATGGCGCGCGTGCTGAAAAACTTCAAAGGCGGCATCTGAGAGTGGCCCTTCTGATTGTTTATTATTCTGTGCCACAACCATCGAGCAATTAGACAAAAGAGGGAATGTAAAGGTAGTGGGGGTAAACATATTGATAGACAGGAAGTGCTATTTTGAGAGGCCACTTTAAACAAAGAAAGAGAATCTCTTTCCTTGTTTAAGAAATCAAATTTAGTTGGGTTATGTTATTGTTGATGTTATTGTTTGTCAAAACTGTCACATGAAAGCTTATTTATATTTTCTATTGAAGTTTTTTAACAGTTGTTTAACATTTTAGACTATTATCGTTATTAATTAATTAAAACTTTATTGTGTTCTAGTGTTAAAAAAAGTTTTTTAATAAATAAATAGATAATATACAATATTATGTAATATAAAATAAATAAATAGATAAATTAGAACCCCTACACCACTGTATGATTATTGTCAAGTGTCATGAAATTTAAATTTGGCGCATTTGCATTTCCGGATATGTCCGCCATCAGAGACCACTTTTTTGGTCTCCTTTTCATAACGAGATTAGATTCCCTCTTTTGTCTTATTGCTCGATGCCCACAACACAACACAATCCATAATCAATATCCAAATATTCCAAATTCATTTCATCGAGGCCGAAAAAGATTGAATTTCTATTGCTATAGTGATTTCATTTTTGGGTGTTAAATTATTGTTGAAATACATAAAATCAAATGGAGGTAAAACAAGAAGTTATGGAGGAAACGTGTAAAGTAGAAATAGAGTCTAACGACCTGGGTGATGCTCTTTTGGATGGCATTAAATGTGAAATTCAGGAGGAATCCAGTAGACAAAATACATATGACACATATAATTATTTAGACTTAAAAGAACATCTTGTAAAGATTAAAATAGAACATGGAAATAAACTTAACCCATGTGAAGAAAATCAAAAATCTGAAAAAGGTTAGTAACTGTTTTGTTTGGTTTCTTGAATACAGTCCGTATTTATTAGGATATATTTATTCTAATTTTAAGGCATACTTTGTAACATTAGTTCTTCCACAAAATCATAAACTAATCCCAAAGAATATAGAGGCATATAGAATATAATGTATCTACATATATTCTCTGTTAATATTAACTCTTGGCCTTTTCATATCATACTCCCTTATATGGTAGACAACCATAGATACATTAAGATTTTTAAATGAATTATACAAAATATTAATACAAAACAGTATTCAATTCTATACAAAAGATTACAATCATTGCACATAATCCTTTAAGTTAGAAGGTTTTCTTATTTCTCATTTGGATCTCACTGGAATCGGAATTTCCACACAATTTAGGATTAGACAAATTGTGATTCACATGACACTGACACTGACTAACACAAACACTCTAAGACAGGGCCTTTGGTGAAGGATTCAATTTAATTTCACTTTCTTGATTTTGCTCTATTAAGGTCTGGTTTGACAAATTACTTTTTGTATCTTGCTTGGATATACTACTATACTACTAAGTATTTAAGCACTTAGTTGACACCAATGTTGGAGAAAACTGATTGGGTTTTATGTAATAAGATGCTGGTACTAAATGACACCTAATACAGCAGTAAACATGGCCTGAATTTAATGATATTAAATAAGCTCTATGTTGATCTAAAAGGCTCACAACTTCAGCATAAATTCTAAGACCAGTTACCCAGGCAAATTCATCAGTGGTTAGATCCAGTGCTGTTCTGGTCTAATGTCTTTTATTAAACTATTCTGCACTGTTACCCTTAGCTCTGCCCTCTTTTTCCCTCAGGAAGCTCAAGATTTTGAGTATTAAATTAAACATTTATTATTAAAATTACATAATATTTTTATCATGATTTGGTATTCAGTATTAGGTTAAACACTGCATTCAAATAATATTTGAAAAGTAGCTGAATAAGCTGAACACTGAATAGTAATCAAATATTTGTGGCATTTCTATTTAGGATTTGTTTATGTTTTAGCCCTAAGCATACATGGTCTGTTGATCAGAAAGTAAAGGATAATTCTAATTATTTAATGTCATTTCTATCTACATACTTAAATTTTGTTGTTTATTGTAAAATTGTAAACACTCTTCTAATATAAAAAAACTTATAGAACTAGAATATTTTCCCAGAATATGTGAAGAAAAGAACTTTAATTGAGATGAATGTAGTCTAATATCACAACTATTTATGAAAGTAAACTGAGAAGTAATGAAAAATTAAAATGAAAAACTTAGATCCTTTTTTTTTATGTTAAACAGTTTCTTAATGTCAGTTTGTTTTTTTTTTTCATTAAATTTCATCGATCTTGATCTAATGAACATTTTTTTTCAGATTCTTATGGTTTTATTATAGTTTTATAATTTTTAAATTCTTAAAAAGAAGATTGTTAAAGTATCTCATGAATATGTCTATACTTTATTTGTTTGCAACTGACAGCTCATTTTTTCACTAAATTCTGAGTAGACTTTTGTCAATAACACAAATGCTAATCAATATTTCATTAAAATATCATCTTGTTTCTTGTATACCTAAGTTAATTCTCATAAGAGAAAAATGAAATCTTTAGTGAAAGGCAGAATAGATATATTTTAATAATCGGGGAATGTTCTAAAAATGGTTTACTTGCTGGAGGAATGTAAGCACAGGAACCTCCATTCCTATTAGGTATACAGTAATAATGTAATTTAAAATAAATTAAAAAAAAAGATGACAATACGGAATGATGCGGTAATATACAACTATGTAACATACTAATAAAATATTCTAAGTATTGTTATACATAGAAAATGTAAAACTAGAAAACAAAAATCTTTAAACACTCAACCGTACTTTTCGTTATCCACTTAATTATTTCTTGTATTAATTGTTATAATATTAATTGTGATAATTGTCAAAATAAAATTCTCATAATTTTTTACCATTTGCTCCCATAATTGCTCATATTTTTCAATAAGTCTGAATATCAATCCTTTCGGGGTCCAGACGCAAAAGTAACAAAAGTTTTTATTTGATGCAAATAACTGTCCTTGAATTTGATAGTAATTTGCATGATTTATCTTTAAAATATATCTATTATCTTTCACTTCCATATACTTTTTAATATCTTCTTAGTCCAGTCGTCCACCGAGAATATAAATTTTGAAACTTCAAAACAGTAGCAAAAGTTTACCACATTTATCCCCGGGCTTCCACCTTAAACCACCGTCGCAGAGGGGTAAAAACGCAAAAAAATCGCTTTACCAAGAATCTGTGCGTGGTAGAAAAAAATGTACAAAATAAAAAATGTAGCTAAGATAATTTTGAATACATTTATTAGCACTTTTTGTGTAGACTGAACCGTTCTCTCAGAAACAACCCTTGAAGCATTGTTAGTTCTAATGAGCAAGGCCTCTATATATATATATATATATATATATATATATATATATATATATATATATATATATATATATATATATATTATAACACTGTTTTTGATGGGTTGGAGTCAATAAAAGGGGCTATTTGTATTTATAATTATATAATTTCTATTTAATTTATATATGCAGTCAGTAAAATATCACATTTTGAATTTTCCATGTATTTGTTACATTTTTTCAGGCATCTATCAATGGTGAATAAATCTTCTTCTTTTTTGTTACTAAACAAAGAAGAATTTTTTAAACAAAATTTTATTTTTGACTATATTTGTATTTAATATTTGTATTTAATATGTAAGCAGTAGTTTTATATAAAAAACTAAAAATTTTTATTTGGTGATGTTAACATAAAAATTTTTATTTCTAGTTCAACTTTGTAAGATATTTTGTATTTTTTAGAAGCTCTTGATAAAAATTGTAATCACAATTGAAAGCTCGAGTAAAAAAATAGTCAACAAATAGCCCCTTTTATTGACTCCAACCCATCAAAAACAGTGTTATATTTTTTCCAAACGAGTCACAAGTACTTCTTTTTTCTTACTCTTATATATATATATATATATATATATATATATATATATATATATATATATATATATTATATATATATATATGTATGTATCTTGAATAAATATAAATAACTTTTAAAGAATTAAATAATATAGAACATCACTCTCATTTAACAAACAATCACATTACATCTATTTTCTACTTCATTGGATAAAATTTATCTCATCAAGAAACTTCCCTGTTTATTGTCAAACAATTACAATAGTAAAAACTGAAGTTCTCCATTCAGCAATACAGGATAGTTTGAACTATGTTCTTCTAACCATTAATTAATAGAGTACTGGCATGTAAGTAATGTTTTGTTTATTTACTAATTTATTACAATTTAATAGACTATTTTTATACCAATTTATGGGTCTTACTTACTTTGTGTTTGCTTAAACAGTTTATTCATTTTTTGAAAAACCACAGACATGTTATATTGGCATAATTACTGTAATATATATCATTTATCTTTGTTTATCTTTATAAGACAACACCCTAATATGGGTTTTATTATTTCAGCATTTAATTAACTTTGTATCGACAGAACTGAAGATGCTTTGCATATTGTAGAAAGCGAAACTGGTCGTCTAGAGAGTCAAATTAAACTGATTGTAAGTCTTATTTATTATTTCTTTTGCCTATTTTAAGTAGATATTACTTATGAAAAATATATGGATGCCTTAAGTTTTTTAGAAGAAAAACTGGAAGCTAAACAGGATTTTAAAGTTGATACAACACGGCTGTGATCACAGTTCTCTCAATACAACCTGTTCTTACTCATACCATTCCACAATATATTTATTAGATTCATTCGAACTTGCATTTTCTTCTATAACAGTTGCGCTACCGTTTGTAAAGGGCCAAGTAACAACAGCACTTGCAGTACCCAACAATATTTCGGCTTTGATGGCTCAGCTGTCTTACCGCCTCCTGATATGGTGAACTTTAATGTAACGTGCCCTCATCCTCCATTGTTTACTGTCCCTCAAGTTCAAACTTTTGCTAACCTAACCATGTACTCAGTGGCCTCTCATTCTTAAAAAAATCTGCAAATATTGACAATATCTTCTCAAGCGCCAATTTTCGCTTCTGAACACTCAAGGTTTCCAACTCTATAAAATATTGTAAAATTCTCGTGCCATTTCGAATAAATGTAATATGTTCTCCACTTCAGAAGTCAATCTTGACTTAGTTAATAGCTTCTCTACGGTCCTAGATATTAACTGGTCACCTTATCAAGAGAATTTCTCGTTTAAGCCGCCTATTTGTGAAGAAAGCCTCCAGTAACAAAAAGAAAGGTATTGGTACATGTTTCATGAATGTATGACCCTTTAATATTACTGTCACTCTTTATAGTGTTCTAAATGTTTCTTACGTCTCTGGTCATTGCCCTTAGACTGGGACAGTGAAATACAAACAGGTGTATCCACACCTAATGGCGAATACCTTAGGTTAATAAAGAAAGTAACTAGGTCAACCTTTAACCAATAGTGGCGCTTTCAGCCAAATATATAATTTCTTTAGACTTTAGGTTCACTAGATTTAAATAGTTCTTAGTTATCTTAGTGTTTACAACAATATCCCTAATGTATACCGGTTTACTCTCGTTTCCTAAGTAACTATTTGATGCCCTATCCCAGTGGCGTAACTCTTCTCGCTCGCCCCCAGTATGTTCAATTTTTCACATGCGAAAAAGAATTTCATTCTTCGTTGTATTACATCCTATCATTCTTCACCTCAATTATAAAATTATTTCCCATTCTCCAACCCTTCCTATTTATATTTCAACCCCACCCCATTAGCAGTACAGACAGTTTTAAGATATCAAACTCTCTCATACCTATTGCATATCGCTAGGAACAGTCGCTCTCTCTCTCTCGCCTGCTGATTTTTGCTAGGAGCAGACGTGCTCTGTCTTCCCTATTGACTATCGTTAACACCAGACGTACGCTCTCTTCCCT